CTGCACATAGAAAAATGCTATATTTTGATTGAGATTTTGTTGAAGACATAGATCAATTTGACAAGAAGAAATTGATAACTTGTCCAAGCTCATCTGTATAGTAGTATAAATAACTGTGCTCTTCCTAAGAGTAATTTTGTCTATAGCACCCAGAATTATGTGTGGTGCATGGTTCTCAAGTACTCCCTTCACAGACAAACCATAACATATAAGAAGAAAACATCCAAATCTTAGTGTCCTTCAGTGCATATTACTGCCCAGTAATAACTTCCTTTTAAAAAGCCTTAGGATCACCTCATTCCTTGGACCGCCTACATGCTCATATCAAACCGATTCCCTAAACATCCCAAGCTCTTTTGGGCCTTGTACCTTTTCTTTATAATCTGTCACTGCTTCTTACAAGCAGCCTTTTACTCTTTGTCATGATTCATTCCAACCTTCCCGACATCCATCAACTGTTGTCTTATGACTTGAGAGCACTGTATTCAGTTTGCTGTTTTGGTGAGTTTCAATAGGATGTATATTGCACTGCAGTTATACATTGCATGCCTATCTTTTTCCTTTATCCTGTACCCATATCGCAGAAGAATATATGACTCTTTTCTGTTTAGGACAAATATACTTTTTATATTGCATCATGTTCATGCTTATCACAGAATCAAACACATAGTTTGTGCTTAGTGAACTTATATTGAAAACTATGGTAAACCTTCATTCTACACATTACTGTTAAAATGTCTTCTTCATAAACAAACATACTTGCTATTTGCATGGCAATGGTCATTCTAAAAATAAATTCAACAGTATTTCTATTTTGGTAGTTGATGTGACTTTTGCCTCTAAATTTCTAGCTTGAATAGTAATGCTTTGAGACAGCAAAAGCACTTAATTTCTGCCCAGCATGGAAATGAAAACAAGACAGGCCCAAGAAAGCATCTGGCACCAGGCTAAGTGGGGAACCCTGTCCTCTGCTCTCTTGGCTGCAGCAAAGGCCAGAACAGACAGGAGACAGCTCAGCAATAGCTCTCCCTAAGGTTTTGCCAAAGAAGCCCTTAGCAAGATAATGGGCTTTTGTTAGGGAACTGCTGAGGGATATGAATGCAACCAAAAGGAGGCACTCGAATAAGTCTCTGCAACCTCAGTGGGCCACCACAAGTCCCCATGGCCAGGAAAGAGTGTTTTCAGCCTGTGACAACAACGGCTAGCCAAAGGTAAGAGTCTCTCCAGGGAGAGTCCCTGGAAATGGCTCTTTTCCTTGCAGGAGAGTTCAGTTGATATGTGTTTGTGGTTTACCTAAAGGTGAGGAAATCCTACTTAGGACCCCAACCCTCAATAATTAGCTTTCCCAGTGGTAACTTTGGAGTTAGACCAAAATGTTTACTGTAAAGAATATGGCATGCTGTTTTGACAGGAGAATTTTTCCCTAATTCAGCTCTAAAAAAATTATCCTTAATCCAGATGTGAGCAAAATAAATTGAGAACATAAAATATTTTAAGTCTAGTCCCATGATAGGCCAAACTCAATATTATGGTGAACCAGGGCCCCTCTTTGGAGCAAAGTATTTTCCTGCATGAAGTAAATAACTTCTTCCTAAGCATGAAATGTTGCTCTCTGGGGGGCTTTTCAGTTGCCTGAAGTTTCTGTAAGATTGAGATTGTTTAGGCCAAATGTGACTTGAATCTTGTTTCTTTTTCCATCTTCCAGGCTCTAGTCTAAATAATATTTAGTCAGCGCTTTAAAGAAAATAAAAAGTCCTGTTCAATTTGGTTCTTCATGAAATCAAATGATTTTACTAGAATAAAGAGAAACCAAAGGAAGAAAGAAGATTCTATTTTTACAAAATAGTGAAGACTTGAGAGTTTTGGGTAGAAATTACCCAAACGTTGAAACAGAGAATATGAAAAGAAGGTTTGGCAAGTATTTTAACACCCATGAAGGTTCATAGTCTTTCTACCTACTGTTTCTTCCTTGGAGAGATTGCACAATCTGAGGGATGAATGAGAAGTAGTTATTATTGGAAAGTTCCCACCACTGCAGAGACTCATAAGCCCCTAAGCAAGCTTCCTCAGCTCACTCTTCACTGTTTCTCTGAGGGAGATGCAAAGGGAGACAAGAGTTGCAACTGGAATCTTCATATGTGTGATAGATAAATCACAAAATGATCCATCTCTGTCAAATTTAAAGTAACTATTGTATTTTATGTGTATGAGTGTTGGCCTGAATGTGTGTGCCTAGTGATCAAAGAGGCCAGAAGAGGGCTTAGGAACCTCTGGAACCGGAGTTGCAGATGTTTGTGAACACAGCTCTTCTGTAGGAGCAGTGAGCTCCCTTGATCTCTGAGCCTTCTCTCCAGTACCCATAATGTGTATTTTCAAGATATTACATGCATGAATGCAATGGGGGAAGGCAGGCTACAAAATTGCAGTTCTCAAGCTGTAATCAGCACAATAACACAGGAATCTAAGGAAGTCACATGCTTTTCTCCCAGAAATAAAAATTCCACAAATTGGAATTTTCTATGTTTTAAAAGATAAAAAAATATCACAGTAAATTTTAAAAGTCGAAAGTTTGAGCTTATTAAAACAATATTAATTATATTCATTTATTCAAATTATTTTCAATCTATTTTTTGTCTGCTCCACTTTTCAGTCATTGTGAGATATGGAAAATTCTTAAATCATGATTTTTTTTGTTCAACTGCTGTACATAACCTTGCTGGTTTTGCTTAATGAAAGGGGAATCAGGACTGATAAAGAAGAATTAAGTGGGGTAAGGATAGGGTAGGATAAAGGCAGGAATTTGAGGATAGCTACACTAAAGGCCTTTTTTTTTAACATCATATGGAAACTTACTCCTTCCTGTAAAGGGTTCCCATAGCATATACATATAGAGATATATAGAGTTTTAATTGAGCTACCCTATGATGAAGGAGGGGCCAGTGCCTCTCCTAGACACACAGACTATCAAGTAAAATTTTGAGTGCCAGATATATGTTACATATTTTGGAGTTGTTGCTCAGTAGAATTCCATAGCTGTCACCCCCATCCCCTGCCCCACGTTATATGCAATTAGCATTGCTCGTGATTACCCTCCAGAAATGATATTGTTGAAGAAAGGCATCATATTCTTGAGTCAGATAAGATGAAATCAAGCTGGTGTGGACCTGGGAGCATCATCCCTACTAACTAGGCTTCATGGTGCTAGAAGGTGCTATGCAAGCTACCAGAAGAGAGAAGTAATTACCATACTTACTCAACTGTGAACTTAGCAAGATAGAGTAATGATCAACTTGGCAACACTACTGTAATAGTGGCAAGAACATTAAAGGAGTAACCAACTCTTTCTGATTGGATTTAAGGCCTGATTTACAATTGAAAAATTATCCTCCTCTCAAATCACAAAGGAATGTTTACATGCTATTTACTTTTCTGCTTTATTTTACATGTAACATTTCTATTGTTCTTTATACCTTAAGATCAATTTTGCCTATTATGATAATCATTGTTATTATTTATTCTACTTACTTCTTCTACTTTAGTTTTCTCCTTTTAATTCTTCTTACTTCTGACCTATTTGGAAGAAATCATTTAAATGTTTCATTTGTATGAAACATTTGTATTTTTACTATATATGAATTATCATTTGCTAGGCTATGCGACTTAAATATCCTATCAATTCTTTCTAATATTTCCTGTTGGAATTCCTACTGGATGTATATAGGAATATTGTTCATTATCTCTGTTGTCTCTTTTAAATGTTCTTCCTTCGAACTACAAGTGATTTATTAATTCTCATTAACTTACTAATTTGTGGCATGGACATCAAGTTCTTGACAGTCCTGTAAGAAGAATTCAGATAGAGATTTTTCACTGTTGTCTAAAGTCCATAACCTCTATAGCTTTACAGTCAGGACCTCCCTTCTACCAACTCAACAGCTATGTATGTGTTTTGTTTTGAAGTTTTGCCTTTTCCAGAACAGAAAGTAGCATCCTGCAATAGTTTTTTTTTTATGTCAGTTTTTCCCCTAGAATAATGTTATTGAGACCCATTCTTATTTCTTTGCTGTGTGGAGTGTTATGCTTTACTATATCATAATTTGTTTATCATTTATATGTTTCATTAGTGATTATAAATATGTCTGTCTGTTAAAGTTACTATAATACATTTGTATACAGGAATGTGTATAGTGATATATAGCCATGTCATATGTGTTTTATTTTTCCTGAGTAAATATCTAGGGACAAAACATCTGAGTTGATTAGTAGCAGCGTTTGATATTTTACCCTTAACAGTGTTTATAATGGTGCAGACTTATTTCTAGAATCATTTTATAGTCTTGCATTCCTACTTTCTCATATAACCTGTCTTTGAATTCAGTCCTTTATTTCATCCATTCTAACATGCTGGAGTTGGAATCTCACTGTGGTCCTCACTGTAATTTCCCTAATGTCTAACAGAATGTAGCATCTTTTTGTGTGCTAATTTGTCCAATATCACCTTCTAGTGAAATGTCCTTACAATTATTTGCTCACTTTTAAACTAATTTTTTGTGTATTACTTAGTTGCAATAGTGGGTAAAAGTTTTGGTAATATGTGTGCTTTAAAATTATCTAATCTGTGGCTTGTCCAATTTGCCAGTATCATGATCAAGTCTTTAAGGAGTTTTGTCCTTTTTTTTTCTTTTGAGGTAGGATTTTCCAATGTTGCCCAAACTGGTCTCAAACTTCAGATAATCTTCCTGCTTTAGATTCTAGAGTAAAGACTCTAGGCCTGGATAAGAAATTTGTGGTTTTTGTTGCTGTTGTTTTTTAGTCAGGGTTTCTCTGGGTAGCTTGGAAGTATGTCCTGGAACTCACTTTGTAGATTAGGCTGGCCTTGAACTTACAGAGATCCCCCTGTGAAGGCAGGGTATTAATGAGGAAATGGGTGTTTTATTGGGGAACAAATTGCACTGATAACAGTAAAGAACGGTCACTGCGCTCCTGCTCCAGAAGATACAGTCTCTGCCCTCCTGATGCCAATGAGATGATGCTAATGAGATCCATGACACCAGAGAGCAAGACATCAGTGCTTCTCTACCTTCCAGTGACAGCTGCACCTGAAGCCACGCCCAAAGGGGGTGTGACCACTAGCACAACTGCCTTGGCAGTACTGGGATTAAAGCTGCCTGCCATGCCCTCCTGGCAAGATGTGTGATTCTAATGAGGGTGAACATCCTCATTGGCTTCCTGTGCTTGGTAAGTTTCTTTGTGACAGAAATACTTGAGCACAATAATTTTTGGAAGAGATTCATTTTGACTCACAATCAGAGTCTTCAGCCTATAGTTCTTGGCTCTGCTGATTCTTGGTATATGGAGGGGCAAAATGTGATGGTAATTGACAGGAAGGAAGGAAGGTATACACACACACACACACACACACACACACACAGTGAGAGAGAGACAGAGAGAGGGAGGGGGGAAGTGAAACAGAGAGAGATGGATATTATTCAAGATGCAAGATACAGACCTCAAGGACATATTCCCAAGGACCACTTGCTCCAGTTTCTTTCTAAAATTTCCAGAACATTCCAAAATAGCACCATCACTTGGGAAACAAATCTTTAAAACATGGGCCTTCCAGAGGAATCTTTCCTAACTATTACAACATGTTCCTTAATAGTTTATGCTTGGAAAACAAGAAGGTTAACAAGATTTTTTTCACACCTGGGCATATGTGTTTGAGTAACATTATATAGATAGGAAAATTATCTCCTCTACATGGATCTATATTTCCCCTTAATTTTATGGAACAGATTTTCAACTTGTTATAGTTGAATTATTATAGGAATACTAATTTTAAGTAAAAGTAATATCCGTTTTAAATGATTCAGTATTATTCTAGGTTTTAATAAGTTCTTGCTGTTTTATTTCTGTGCCTGCTGTTTCTATCAAAATGACCAGTGGATGGAAGGAGTCTCCCTTTAGCACTGGATAGATGAATATTCCTGACTCCTGTACCACTCCTAACACAAGACCAAAGCATCCTATGTAAGTTTCCTAAGGGCTTTAAGGTACCTGCTGATCTAGGTAATAGTGGCTACAAAGCAGTGTGTGTGTGTGTGCGTGCGTGCGTGCGTGCGTGTGTGTGTGTGTGTGCGTGCGTGCGTGTGTGTGTGTGTGCGTGCGTGCGTGTGTGTGTGCGTGCGTGCGTGCGTGCGTGTGTGTGTGTGTGTATGTGTATGTGTGTGTGTGTGTGCGTGCGTGCGTGCGTGCGTGTGAGTGTGTGCGTGCGTGTGTGTGTGTGTGTGTGTGTGTGTGTGTGTGGAAGTCGTCTACCTGATCTCACTGACTCTTCCTGTTAGGGCCATTCGTGGGACAGGCCCCACCTTAATCATGCTGAGAATGGTTTCACACTGTAGGGAACCCAACTGTCCTCCCAAGGGGATGTTCCTCCCCTTAACTCAGTCTTAAGGAGGCCATTCCAACATTCAGAAAGGAGAAATTCTTTCTTTACACTTGAATTGCTGTTGCCTAGAAAATATGAAGATTAACAAGGCTCTTGTTTTTAAGAATTTATAATGTAATTGGAGAGAGAGAGAGAGAGAGAGAGAGAGAGAGAGAGAGAGAGAGAGAGAGAGAGAGAGAGAGAACTGATCAAGAAGCCAGTAAGTCAAGCTCTCTCAGCGCACTGCTGGGTGGATTACAGCTTGGCATAATGCGAAGTTTGTGGTAGATCTCGTACTGACAACTGTGGGCCTTGTTTCTTGTTTCTAGAAGTCGGGTGTTGACAGTGCTTTTAGTACCAGGAGTATGCCGCCAGTCGGAGCACATGAATATTCAAGCAGGCCTGAATTCCCCTTTGGTGGAGGCCTCAGTGCAGCACTCTCTGAAGGTAGGGAATGCCAGGCAAGTTTGTTTTCCCCTGGCTTTCACAGAGTACTGGTTCATGTGACTCTGGGTGGGGCTTTCCCCTGCTTGCTTTTGCTTTGTTTTAACTGTTCCTTTGGCTGAAGGTGCTTTTTATGATGGGTGCAGACAAAGAAAACTTTTATGCAAGTAAACAAAACAGATTATACCGAGCCAGGGTTTCTGTTCTGTACGGGGCATATCCCTTAGACCATTTCTGAGTGGTTATTTATGGCTGTCTGTTCATCCCCTGGAGCCTGACTTCACCTCTTGGTGCAGTGAAACCACTCTGTGTTTAGTGCAATGGTCTGCCACCCCTGGGAATGGCTGGATGTCAAATATTTACCCCTGTGGGGTTGAACACAAATCAGAGATACAAGGAGGAAAGAGAAGTTAAGTGCAGGGTCCTCAGGAACTAACAGCCTCTGGAGGGGAATGGATTTTCACAATGCAGAAGAAACAAAGAGACAGCACAGTGTATCTTTATGGGGCAAGGAGGAGGAGCCCTCTAAAATATAAAGTAACTTTGAGTAGGGCAGGGTTTTCACCTCCCTGCTTTCTCAGCAACCATACCCACTGTTCACCCACCTGGCTCAGGACCAGGCCTAGAGGGAGACATTTTAAATTTTTATTCTTTTAATTGGAAAAAGATGCTACACCTCGTCCTGGTCATTCAAGCCTTCCCTGAGAGGTAGTGAGAGAGTGAGAGGGAGTCCGGGGGGGTGGAGGGGAGGAGGCAGAGGTAGAGAAGGAAAGAAAGACCTTAGCCAAGCATTAGTTTAGCCCCATAAAACTTTGAAATCAAACTTGGCATTCGGCTTGGTAGATAATCACACTGAAAAATATCCAGAAAGTTGAAAGTTTACTGTCTTGCCCAAGGTTCTTCATTTCCAGTTTTATGTCTCACTGGTCCCTTCCCCATGCAGTTTTCCCATTGGACTGACTGTATTGTCAGGTACAAACCTACATTTTTACAGGCTACGTCAAATCATGCCAAGTTGCCAAAGAGCTTATAAAATAATCGTGGACATGAACAGCAAGAAAACAGAACAGCCACTAATGCCATAAAGGGAATACTACACCGAAGACCAAGCTTGAAATAAAGTCCATGTGATCCATGTAACATTAGACACCTCTGAAATCTAGAAGACAAACTACAGGCATGTTTGTTCTTTTTCTTTCTGGACAAGGGACTTTAGTTTGCTCCTCTACAGTGCAGGGGAGTTCACTGTGGCCACGTTTCCTGATTTGAAACTTGTTCACTGTTGAGAAGAAAGACGAGGCCATCTCTGCTTAAACCTCAGGGTCCCGAGTGACAGCAAATTCCAGTTGAGCCAGGCATCCTTCTGCAAGAGCTCCAGCAGCTCACTGGTCCTGGGAAGCGACCCCAGGCTGCCCTGCCTTTGGTGAGGACAGCATTGCCCTGCGGCTGGGCACACCACATTCAAAAGCAAACATTAGGCAGCTTCACCTTCTTCCAGTTTGGCAAGAAGAGTCGAATCCACAAAGGAGTCTTACTTTAGTTGTATTTAGAAATGTAAGTCCCTGCAGACTTAAGAGTTGGTGCCTGGGAGGGCCCTGCATTGTGAGCCCTCTGCAGCAGGCCGGCCCGGCTAACACAAGCAGGCTTTGTTTTAATTAGCAGCAGAAGCAGCCCTCCCCTCCTCCTGCAGGGCTTCCAGTTTACAATTGTCTGGGAACTCCCTCAGCCCAAAATGGTTACTAAAAAAATTTCCACAGAAACCCAACGAAAAGGGCCAGACCGACGCTGGGCTTTTAAAAGAACTTTTCCAAATTGAGTCTTGAAGCAAAGTTGTCAGCAGGAGTGGAATGCTTATTGGAATGGATGTCCACTCCGGGGAGGGCCCCAAGGTTAACTAGATGGTTCACTTCAAAATAATAGTCTGCTTCTCCCTTGCTCTTGCCCCAAAGGGAAGAAGACAACACAACCTGCTTTAACACTGTTAAGGATCTAGTTTAAAGTGACAAATGCCAGGAAATGTAAAAATAAGGATGACCAGGATTCTATCACTACATTAGTTTTTTAAGAGTGGTTTGAATCTGGATGCAGGGCAGTGAGTTACAGGAAGAGTCAACTGCACACCTCTCTTCTCCATGCAGATGTCATCGGCATCCTCTGGCATGTCCGTGTCCCCCCCCCACACACACAGCCTCCAGAATTCGAGATTCGGGCCTGTGCCTTGAAGTGGTGGAGATGGAGGAGTTTTGTGTTCAACAAGACATGGAGAGCTGTGGAAGTCACAGCCTCTGAGAAAGGCCCTTTTAGCTTTGTCAAGAGAAGTGTTTGGTTCCTACCAGACTGGTTGTCATCTGATTTATTGAGTGTTGAGCATATTGAGATTTTGCTTGTTTTCTTTTTATTTTCTGCATGAGCATTTTCAAATTGAAACTTTCAAAAGTGTATACAATGAAAAACATCATCAAATGTGTACATATTTTAAAACTCAAATATAAAATTTAAATGTGTTTTGAGATGTATTTGTGGCCAACATATTCATGTGATATAAAGTACAATTCATTTGTTCACTTAGAAAGCTAGCACATTTTTTTGTTTTTTCCCTCAATATATGTTTTTATTTGAATTAGAAACATGAATGCTTCCCATGTCAATCCCAGCTCCCTCTCCCACCCCTCCTCCCTTGTGCTTCCACCAGCCCCCCTCAGCAAGTACATTTTTTTAAGTAATCAAAAGTATATTTCATTTCTTTACTACCTTTTTAAGGATTTGATTCCTTATTGCCCTGTTATAACAATTTACAACCCAAACTGAACTACTAAGCTCTCTGATCTTTAGCTAAAACTAAGTGCCTGAATCTTCCCATTTAATATCTATGGTTCTGAGGGAACAAAATGTATTTCCCATAGTATTTGTAAATAAATCATCCCATTTCTGTCAGTGAATGAGGTAGCAGCTTGGTGCTGGGAATCACATTTGGTCAAAGATGAAATCCAGAGCTTTCCAGAGTCAGATTCAGAGGCAGAAGAGGCAGGATGTTCCACCATGCCTTTGTCAATAAAATAAAATAATATGAAAATAAATCACAAGTCAAGCCTGGCTTTTTCAGAGACAGGTAAGTTAGAAATTTGTCTTTTGTCTGCCCTTGCATGAAGAAGAGACACTGAGCAAGATTAGCAGTGCTCATTGTAGGTAGATTCTGCCTATCATAGACTTCACAGAGTCTGTTATAGTGCCTTATATTCTGGGTCTTTCAGAGTACATTTAAAATAGTGGCCAGAGGACTGAAATTAAAGATCAATCAGTGACCAGAAGAAAGAAGTATTTTTATCTCTGTCAAGGATGAATCCTCTCATGCCTGACTTACTATTCATGGATACCATTCCATACAGAGTCATTCAGGATTGTTGATATGAAATTTTCTGTCCTGATCTCACAGTGAAGTAGAAAACAGCAATCAGGATTTGAAGTTGTAACTGCAGAAGGAAGGAGTGGGTTGAAATTAGGATCCAACAGCATTTTCTAGGTGGGTGAGAAATATGCTGTCCTTTTGCCATCAATAAAGTAGAGATGATAACTTCTGGGTCTCTAGAATTGCATATGCCCAGAAATGACAGTCTTGGCTCAGTTCAAGCAGGACTATAGAAGAATTTCTGATGGTTAGATAAAAGCCAATGTTCTTCAGGAATTTGTGAACTGGCATCCAATCTCAGAAAGGAGTCATTTCCTTTGCCTCTGACGAAAGTGACATATGACTGTCTATTGACATTTGCGAGTGTCGCCTGTCAGTGTATCAAAGCCCATGTCCTACAGAGTCCCTCTGCCCCTTCTCACAGGTACGTGTTATACACCTCAAAGCCCATGCTAGAATCCTATTTCACCTCCCCCACTCCTCTTCCACTAGTTATCCCCCAAGTTGACCCAGAGTTCCACTCCAGTTATAACAACAAGGTGTTTCTTCCTTCCCTGCTATTCTTTACATTTCTTTCTCTAACAATGCCCTGATACTATCCCTGCTTTCCTAGCCTTGGCCATGTCCAATCTGCTTCTTTGTCTCTCTGTTCTGGACTCTTTTAAATCCCTCTGAATGTTCAGGTTTTTTATCCACAATAAAAATCTTCCTTGTAATCACAGAGCTGCCATTCTAGTGGTTTCTTTTCAACATCCCTAACTTACAGTAAGATCACACTCTTAAGGAAGAACTACAAAAATTATAAAACTGGTTATGAGAGTGACGAGCAAGAAACATTTAGTAATGGTATGAGAAGGCAAGACAGTGCAGAGGTGCCTTTATCTTATGTTCTTGCTGAGGCCTTTCCAAGTTTAACTAGAATTTCATCTCCTTGATGGAGAATCACATGGAAAATTAAGAACTGAGGTCAAAGATGTCCCAGGTAACTTATTCCTTGTTCTGTTAAACTGCTTACTTGTGTAAACTTTCCCTGCAGCTATTGAAGAAGAAAACAGGATATGAATTTTACCTTTAAAAGCTCCTTGCTCTAAATGCTCAGGTCTACACTTGGGTCTCTGAATACATGAGTATTGGAACAAATACTTCATATTGGCTATAAACTGTGTTTGAGTTGCTGTCTCTATTGTGCTCCCTGTAACATTTTGGAGGCCCCAGCGAGATTCCCCCAAACTGAACTCCAACCCTTAGGGGCCTTGGGATCCCCAGAAGTGGGGAAGAGTATGTTAACTGTGGAATAATCTTGGGGGATCCCCCCAGGTGTTCCAGGGTCCCAGGAATATCTTTGACTAATCATTGCTGAGTGATCCAGAGGCAACCTAATGACACTACCCTCTAAAAAAATAGTAAATTGAAAGTCATCTGGTCTGAATATCTCTGAAACTAAGTTTGATCTGTAAGAAATGCCATCTGGTTAGGACAGAAAGGAGGTTAGGCAATCATAGAGCCTGTGTCTGGGATCCATGTGAGATATCACTAGATATCTCCGGTCTTTTCAGGTATGTGAATGTGTGCTGGCCACCTGATTGTGGTTACTGTATATCTCTCTGTATGCCTCTGTCTCCCTGTGTGTCTCTCTGTAAGTTCTGTTGGTTGGAGAAACAAGTCTGAAATAGAAGGATGATTATATTATCCAAGACTGCAACCACTGCTGCCCCTAAGGTGGAGTATGATTTCCTATGGACACATGGGGCATGCTTGGTGGCCCACCTGCATGTTGTGGTAACCCACTTCCCTTACCAAAGCAACTATGGTCACACCTCAGCCAATACCTTAGCTTTTGACTGCTGTTATTGTTAAGGAAATTAAGAAGGTTCCCAAGCCTCTAGTTTCCATGCAATAACCAATGGCATTCTCTGGTATGAGACCCCCCCCCCGACTCCCGGACCAAGTCATCTGGAGAAACCCCAAGCTTTCTCCAACTATTCTCTGAGTCCCACCAGAAGAAATTGATGACCCCTATGATGGGGGAAGTCCTGTGTATATGTCAATAAAGCACTGTTGGCCAATAGGGAACCAAGATAGGTGGGACTAGGAGTCCAGGAGGACTCTGGGAAGGAGAAACACAGGGAGTCAAGATGTAGCTACCATAGGGGTCAGAAATCCGGACCCCTTTCTCCGGTAAGAGAAATACTTAGATGGGTTAAATACGTAAGTCAGAGCTAGCCAGTAAGAAACAAGCAAGGGCAACAGCTTCATAATTAATATAGCCTCTTGTGTGTTTATTTGGGACTGATGCGGCTCTGGAACCAGGCTGGCGGGAAGGCTTCTCTCAAGGAAAAGGCTTCCCTTTACACCCCTCCTTATTATGGAGCACTTGCATTTAGCTTGTTTAGTCAGTTGACTCCTGCTTGTAGTCTGGGGGTCCTGGTTCTGTTCTCTGTGTGGAAGTGGGCAGGAACTCAAAGGGCTCAGAGGGCTCACAGGGTAAAGAAATAGGTCCCTGAACTGTGTGTAAGGAGGAAAATAATTCCTCCAGTCACATATCAGGGAATGGGGGTGGAAAAGTGGAAGTCCAATACCTTCCTGGTTCATAGTTTATGTCTTTTTATCTTCCAGTGACTTGTATAAATGGAAGACCCCGAAAACCTCCATTTTCACAAAAGATGCAGGCCATTACCAGCCTATTGGATACTGTTTTAAAGTAAGAGGGCAAAAATAAATACATATACAACAAACAAATAAATAGATAATGAAAATAAATATGTTGAGAGGGCATTGAAGGACTTTTCACCAAACATTATTGGGAGGATTAAAAGCAGCAGCCACAAAACCTGCCAATTTATGCAAGGTAGGTTGGGTTACTCAAGGACCTGAGGAATTGCCCTCTGCATTTCTGGAAAAGATCTCTGAGACATACCAGATATTTACTCCCACACACTCAGATGGCCCCCCAAACTAGAGAGCTGCTAATACTGGCTTTGTCATGCAGACAGCCTCAGACATAAGGAGAAAGCCCCAGTAATTAGAGGGATTTGAACAGGTATCAACTTTTGGAAATTGCTCAGAAAGTTTATCCCAGCAGAAATTTATCTGAAAACAAAAAGGGAAAGAAATTCTCCAATGTGGTAATATTTGGAGAAATGTCCTTCAGAGAAATAGACAAGAGAAGAAATGGGGGAAATAGACCAGAAGAAGCAGTTCATTGACTTGCCAGCATCATTTGATGAGGTCCTGAGTACAAATCTGTTAGAATTTAGACATAAATATCCATAAAGTACCATGCTCCAGTGTGTAGATGGCTTCTTCGTAGCTCCAACCACTGAGAAGGAATGTGGACAGGCAGCATAAGTCCTTTAAGAGGTCTTTAAGCCCTGGGGTACAATCTCAGCCAAGAAGGCTCAGCTGTGTACCCCTCAAGCCACATATCCAAATATCCCATATTTTGAAGGGGGCTGGGCCTCCCCTCCAATGCAACGAAGCAATGAAGTGATCTTTGGAGTATAGTGGCTGGCCATTCACTCTGCTAGCCCATTCACCTCAGATAGCCACTTCTAATTTTCCTTTTCAGAAGCAACAATTAAAGGAATTGTAGGTGATGAAGGCTTAGCATAGTTGTATCAATCTGTCTGACTTTGATGTCTTTAATGCCAGCACTAGAGAAGAATATAAGGTGGGAGGAGGCAGATGTAGTCAGATTCAGTCTGAGAATTCATGGAAACA